AAATTAGAAAAGAAAAAAAGAGTGTTTTAAATACTGTTGTCACATGACACCCTTAGAGGGCAGGAGTAAGACTGTAAGGTATGACGGGAGATGCGGTTAGGACCCAAGGATAAAAACCCGGCCAGGAGGACCTTACCTGTCTTGTAGGAATTTGTCGCCGTAGAGCTGCCCAAAGCTGGATTGTTCTCTAGTTGAGGTGACGTAAAATACTGACTGGTCATCTCACAGGTGATTAAGTGTTAAGTCAGGCTAAATTTGTATTGGTAAATACCAATTAGCCGTGTTTACCTTTTTAAATTAAGCTACTTAAATTAATGACCTGGCAGCTAAGCGGCCACCTCACAGAATTCTGTTGCTCAGAGAGCCCCGTGGAACAGTCCTGCATTGCCACTCATTGGACATTTTATAGCTTTATAAACTGAGGCACAGTGAGGTTAAATGGCTTGTTTGGGACTTGATGAATACATGGGAGGGTTGAGAGAGGATTCAGGGTTTTCCGTTTCCATTCATTAGCCCTGCAGAATTTATTGGAGTTGTTATTTTTCCTAAGAGTTTTCAAGGAGGCTGTTTGTCTCTGGTCTCACAGCATTTTGTAGAAACTTCAAGTGCTTATCACTTTTTGCTGGAATTGTTTGTTTGGATTTCTCTCTGTCAGGGTCAACACTTCTTTTGGTTTATATTTGTATCCAAGGGCCCAGGCATGCAAGAAATATATGTTGAATGACTGAATGAGAATTTAAAAATCTGACGTTTGCTAAAGCATGAGCACAGGTAGGTTTTCTCTTAGCCAAGTTTCTAGTTTGAGTTAAGAGGTATAGTTTGAATTAATTAGAGGTCCCCAGTAGTGACCTCTAATTTAGACTTAGGTTGACCACAGTGTTAGGAGTCATATATGTGTGTACATGCAATATATATGACTCCTAACACGTGCCTGTGTGTATATATGTGTATGTATATATGACTCCTGACACACATATATATATTCCAAAAGTAAAGAGAATGAATGGTAGTTATTTGTGTTTGCCTATTTTTTCGTTTCAGTGTTCTAAATTTTTTTTTTTTAATGATCTTGTGATCTACCCCTGAGGCATAGATTTGAAAATTGTGGCTTATACTTAATGTAAATGCACATACTGTAATACTCTTGAGTTCTCTTCAACACATGAGAAATAAAACTTAGCTTTAGAAAATCATGTTTAGATGCTTAGAGAAGAAATTTTAAAATGATTAAGTGGAAGAGAGAGTGATTTAGGACTTCATGTGACTTTCTGTCTCTGTTGAGGATATTTTGAATAATCACTGAGGATCTTTTATAGGGGAAAGGAAAGCATTTCATCTGTCATATGAGTCAAGAATTCCAGGTTAGGGGAGAGGGAAAAGGATACAAAAACTGTCCATTCTAGGAACCAGTAATCATCCATTTGAAACAAACTTTGTGGCATTCAGGGTAGACATATAGTCTGTTACCTGCATTTAGAGGAAATGTTGCTGATCTATTGTTTGTAATAGGTAATTTGCTATAAAGTTTCTGGACTGAGTGAAGCCTGGTTTGTCTGGAGAATTTGCTGGTTCCTTTAACAAGCCCACAGCCTGTCTGACGCCTCTTGGAAAAACAGTGGTCATGACAGTAACAGACTCACCCTCAAAGAATCCAGCAGATTATCTGGAGAGATTGCCTCATCTCTAACTAATGTGCTGTGTTCTACTCATGTGATGGTTAGTCTGCTGCTTAGGCAGGTGTGGAATAAGAGGACCGATGAAACAGAGCCCAGTTGTATGCAGGTTGCTATTCATACATTCCATGGTTACCAAGAAGTGTGTTAAAAAGTCCAGTTTGCCAGATCTGGAACTAATACTCTCTCTAGCATGGACACACTGGCTGCTAATGTATGTCAGACTCCTACCCTATCTGTCAGACACTGCACAAGGCAATTTTATGTGGGTGATTTTATTTAATCCTCACAACAGTCCTATAATTATCCCCATGTTACGTATGAGGAAACTTAAGATTTAGAAATTAAACGACTTGACTCATCCGTAGACAGAGCCGGCGTGTGAATCTCTCCAGCTCGGAGCCCGTGCTCACTTAACCTGTGTCAGCATAGCTCTTCCTCTGCTCACTTCTGAGCCATCAAATTCAACCTCAAGCCGCGGCATACCTTTTTCCTTTCATTGGTTTACGTGGGGAAGTGGCCTTTGCTGTGTAGCTCCCTACGGAGAAGTCTCCTTTCATTTCTTCAGCAAGCCTTTACCGAGTGCTCCTCCGCTCTGCTGTGCGCTGTGGGTGGCAGTGCTGAACACAGCGGCCCCTGCGGGGAGTCTTCTCCAGCCTCCAGCTTCATCTTTCCTCAGTGACGCCTGTCATGACCCCAGACCCGCCCTCTGTCACCCGTCACAGTCCCTTCCTGCCTGCAGTACCTTCAACCATAATTGCTTTGGGTCCTCAAATCAGACTCACAAAGAGTTTCTTTTTCAGAGAAAAAGTATACACAATGGCTTTGAGGCTTTAATATTTTTCATCCTCAACAAAGGTTAAATAGAGCTGGAAAAGAACGCATGTCATCCCGAACTCCTAGGAAGCTGTGTTTGGAGAAAAACTGGAAATAAATAGCTTTGATATTAAAAAGCAAATTAGGGAATTCTCTGGTGGTCCAGTGGTTGGGACACTACACTTTCACTGCCAGGGGTCTGGGTTTGATCCCCCTGGTCAGGGAACTGAGTCATGGAGTGCAGCCAAAGAAAACTAATTAATAAAACAAATTAGTATTGATCTTAAGACATTAGGAAGGGGAGAGTAATAAACCCCAAGGAAGAGAAAGGAAGTAGTGAGATAAAGAATGAATTAAATAAAATAGAGAACATTAAAAACAAAAAGGAAAAACTGAAAAGCCAGTTCTTTGTGAAGGTTGATTAAATAAGTTAACTTCCCAAGGTAATCTACATTTAACACAGTCCCGCTGGACTCTTTTTTAATTAACCAAAATGACTTTTAAATTTATTAAATAAATGAACCTACATAACCTAAATGTCTCCCAGTAAAGGCTGATTTAATAAACTGGAGTGCATCCATACAGCGGGACAACATGCGACTGTAAACACAAGCAGGACGTTCTCTGTGTCTTGATGTGGAATAAAGCAAGGTGCGGGACAGCGCGTATAGTACACTGGCCTTAGTGTAAAAGTGAAAGGGAGGAGTAAAAATGCGAATCAACATTTGCTTTTAGATCATGAAGAAATGCTGGCATGAAGAAATAGTGTACATCAATAGCAGAGGTTACCTGTGGTGCGGAGAGGGGGCAGGTAGGGACAGAAGTCTAGGAAGAGAGGCTCTTCTCTAGATACATACTTTTTAAAATATTATTTTTGGCTGCACCCGGAACATGTGGGACCGTAGTTCTCTGACCAGGGATTGAACCTGCGCCCCCTGCATTGGAAGGCAGTCTTAACCACTGGAGCTCCAGGGAAGTCCTGATGTATACTTAACATTTGAAAGCTTTTGAACTGTGAGAATGCATCGTCTATTCAAGAATTAATTTATTATAAAGAGTTACTTTTTTAATCAATAAGAAAAAAGGGAACATCCCAAACAAAAACTGAGTGAAGTCTGTATTGTGATACATCTGTATTGTGAAAACTGAGCAGCTACCATAATATAGCAGGGAAAGTGAAATGTCAAAATGTCAACAGCAACTGTCCCTGGGTGTTGAGAATAGACAAATAACATGTATTTTTTGTTTGTGATGTTCTCAGTGGCCTGCAGTGACTCACCACTTTTATAATTGGGTTTTTTTTTTTTTAATTGAGAAAAAGTTGGCCAGGTTCCATCCCTAGTTGGGGAATTAAGATCCTGCAAGCCATGAGGCTCAGCCAAAATTAAAAAGAAAAAAAGAAGCGTAATTAAAAGTAAGAAAGATCAATATTCTGAAGAAGAGTAGTAAGGAAAACCAACACTAGCAAAAATGATACTGGTTGTGAAGTAGCAGTAATTAAAATGCTATGACAGTAGCACAGATACTGAGTTTCTGAAACTGTAAAAAGACTCAGATCTATTCTGTCTCTTACATGAGAGAGAATGTGATAAAAATGAGTATCTGAAACAAAAGTAGTGGCAAAGGAAGGATTAGTAAATGGTGATGGGATAATGTTTGCCTGTTACGTTACCAGCAGCTGGGACAAAGAGACATTTAAAAAAATTCAAAGCTTTGACCAGTTCATGTAAAATAAAATGTGAAGAACTGTCATTTTATTTTATTTTATTTTATTTATAAGAACTGTCATTTTAATAGTTGTGAAGCAATGAAGAGCCTCACAGTAGAAAAATCAATATTTTAAAAATTTTGAAGAATTTATATTTCATGTGTGTGGATGTATGAATATTTGCCCTTAATATGTATATGTTATTGCTTTACATGGGTAATGATGTAAAGGAAGTTTGAGAAAATGAACACAGCCATTGTTACAGTGGATTATACACAAATTTTGTTTTTCTTTTAGTAATGTAAAGGGTTTTATTTTTTTTAGCAGATATTTATTTTGAAGCAGGAAACTCCCTCTGGAGTAACAGTAATTATTACTATTGGCATGAAGTAATAGTAATAATAGTAATTATTCCCTTTTTCTAAAGAATTCATTATTGGACACTTTCATTATTGGACTATACCAGGTATCAGATCACTCTAGCAACAGAAGTCACCCAGGTCACCTTTGCTGACCTTTGAAGAGAACTCTTTAAACAGTTGGAGAGGAGGTGAAGAGAAGAGCTGCCTACAGCAATGACGGAGCACAGTATTAACGACTGGCTCTAAGTGCAAAGGATTCAGCTGTGGGATGTTTTGTTTTGTTTTGTTTTTTTGTTTTCATTTTTTTTTCCCATTTATTTTTATTAGTTGGAGGCTAATTACTTTACAACATTGCAGTGGTTTTTGTCATACATTGACATGAATTAGCCATCAGCTGGGGGATTTTGTTCACCTCTTCCTTCTGTTGTTCTCTGCTTCCAGGTTGGTGGCACGAAGGCTGGTGTAGTCCGGTTTCTTGGGGAGACAGACTTTGCCAAGGGGGAGTGGTGCGGCGTGGAGTTGGATGAACCTCTGGGGAAGAATGACGGGGCTGTTTCTGGAACAAGGTGCGTTTGCTGTTGGAATTTCGTCTCCCTCCTGCACGTAAAGATGCTCAAGCCAGCCCCACACAGTGTGTGTAATAAAATGGACATGAGCGTTTTGAAGAGCTGCACTTGTATTTCCTAAGACTCATCTAGGATTTTCCCCTCCACTAGGATTAGTCGTTCTCTCTTAGATGGTCCTCTGTCTTTTTCGCTCCCCCCCCCCATTCTATTTTTAAAAATTTCGTGTGTGCGTGTGTGCTTTTAAAGAAAACAATTACTTACTTATTTTTTAAATTTTTGGCCACACCCTGCAGCACATGGGATCTGTGGCATGTGGGATCTTAGTCCCTCGACCAGGGATCAAATTCACACTCCCTCTATTGGAAGACAGAGTCTTAACCGTTGGACCACCGGAGAAGTCCCCTGACTCTCATTTAGTGATACGTGCAGTGCATCTGAGTAGATTCTGAACAAGCACTGGGTTTATGTATCTGTTTGTTTTTGTTTTAGAGCAGTTTTCAGTTAGAATTGAGAAGAATTGAGAGGAAGATGCAGATAGCCCTTCTCGACCTCCTGCCCCAACTTGTGCACAGGCCTCCCCTCATTGTCAATATCCAGAGGGATGCATTTATTACAGCTGATGATTTTAAGTATATAGGTGCTATGCACCAAATACAGTAATAATGCCTTGAGATTTTAAAAAATCTCTTAGTGCTGTGATGATTATGAAGCCATAGCGTTCATATTCTTGATATTAAGATGTTAAAATTCTCTAGAGTCATAATGTCTCCAAGTGTCAGTCTGATAACTGACTAACCAGCTGGTACGTCTCCACCTTTACTTGAGTGAATCTGCCAGCTAGGTGCTTGTTTGATTTCTGTTTCCCTCTGTTTAGCAAGGTTGTATTAAGTGGGATCACTGGGCTGCTGAACTCTTCTGCTGTGTGTTTATCAGATAGTAGAAATGACTTCCTCTTTACATAGAATCTTAGCAACAGACAAGTCAGTCTGTCTCTGCATATCTCACTGTTGCTTCCTCATGTGTCTTTGAAGACATTACTGAAGTTATTTATCAGCCTGCACATCCAGTGAACACTGCAGGCTGGGTGCAGCACCCCAGCCGGTTGGTAGAATTCACAGCAAGCGCACAAGTTTGAGTCAGGAGAGCCTTTTGGTTACAAGTTTTTCTTTCTTGTCATTAAACCGCTTTTTGTTCCTGTCCTTAATTGTTGTCCCCTCAAGGTATTTTCAGTGTCAACCCAAATATGGACTGTTTGCTCCAATCCACAAAGTCACCAAGATTGGCTTCCCCTCCACCACGCCAGCCAAAGCCAAGGCCGCGGCGGTGAGGCGAGTGATGGCAACCACGCCCGCCAGCATGAAGCGCAGCCCGTCTGCCTCCTCTCTCAGCTCCATGAGCTCCGTGGCCTCCTCTGTGAGCAGCAAGCCCAGCCGGACAGGACTGGTGAGCCTCCCTTCCTGTCTTTCTCTGCATTCCAGGCACATCAGGTGCCTGCCACCCTCATCAGCACGCCTGCTTTGCTTTAGGAAAGGTTACACCTCCCCTTGCCCTTGTGTGAAATGTACCTTCGCTGTAGCTTGTGAACGTCCTTAAACATTTCGCAACAAAAGAGAACCCAAACCTCTAGCACAAGTACAAGTTTGAAATAAAGAATTTTCAACAGCTCCTTTCAGACTCCTAAGACTGGGAGATACCACAGTGCCTGGTGAATCGATGGTAACGACTCCCTAGTCTAACGTATGAGATGATTGATTATTCTGATATTATTTTGGCATCCGGCAGACAGGAAAATTGGAGGGATCCCTTTCCCCAAGGACCTGGGTGTCTTTCTCTTTGTTGTCAGACTAGGAACTAAAACTATTTTGAGAAAAGGCATGTTCTTAGAATTTTCATGTTGTGTTCATGCAGTCTCACCCACTGAAAACAGTTCGGTGGGTGTGGAGTGTTCCTGCCTCAGGCCCGAGGATGCAGAGAAGAACGTAGGCAACTGGAAAAGATGCCTGAAAGGCCCTGTTTTGTGTTGTCACCTCTCTCCATCTCCCCTTCCCACTCCCTCTCCCTTTCTCCCCCTTTCCTGCTTTGATCAGTAAGATAAAATCATCAGAATCAAAATAGGCAGCATCTTGTTCTGTTTGTTCATGTCACGCTTTCTTAGGGCCAAAGCAGTGACTTTTTGGCTTTGCTTCCCCACCCCCACCCCCTGCCCTTTAGTTTATTCGCTTGAAGTGAGGCAGATACTGTTCAAATTTGACATGACTGCGTGAGATTACACTCCAGACTGGATTCTGGGTCGCTGGTTCATGACAATGAACTGCAGACAGGAATTAGAATGTGAAGTGTTGCGATCGGGGAGTAAGGCTGCTGGCCCCTGGCCTCACTTGGCCTTCTCTCTGCTGACCCTGGGCGGGGACGGGACCTTCGGGGGCGTCTCTCTGTTGACCCTGGGCGGGGACGGGACCTTCGGGGGCGTCTCTCTGCTGACCCTGGGCGGGGACGGGACCTTCGGGGGCGTCTCTCTGTTGACCCTGTTCGGGGACGGGACCTTCGGGGGCGTCTCTCTGTTGACCCTGGGCGGGGACGGGACCTTCGGGGGCGTCTCTCTGCTGACCCTGGGCGGGGACGGGACCTTCGGGGGCGTCTCTCTGCTGACCCTGGGCGGGGACGGGACCTTCGGGGGCGTCTCTCTGCTGACCCTGGGCGGGGACGGGACCTTCGGGGGCGTCTCTCTGCTGACCCTGGGCGGGGACGGGACCTTCGGGGCGTCTCTCTGTTGACCCTGGGCGGGGACGGGACCTTCGGGGGCGTCTCTCTGTTGACCCTGGGCGGGGACGGGACCTTCGTGGCGTCTCTCTTTATAGCAGGGGCTGCCCTCCTCTGCAGCCATTGGACTTCTTCCCCTGACGTTCAGGTGATGCAGGTACCTGCTTGGACTCTGTCATTCTGCTCATATAAAAGCCTGCATCTTCAGCGTGTAAATTACAAGTGAACTTGATAAGAAAAGCTTGACAAGAACTCTTGGAATGTCTGAGTGAAATGGAGGTGAAGAAAACCCTCTATTTGGATGAAGCCTTGTTCAGAGTCAGTCAGCCAGCTCTAATGTGGACATCGAGTTTACGTTTCAGGACATGAGTTTACATTCTCAGGACTAATTCAGGAGCAATTCCGTGGACATGTCTACTCTGGATTCCAAATTCTTTCTTCCTTTTTTTTTTTTTTTGAGAAATTTTTATTATGTTACAATTGTGTCCATTTCTTTGGAGATTCCCCAAGCCCTTCCTGTCCCCACAACCTCTCCTCTTATTTTTAGACCAGTTCTGATTCCTCTTTGAAGAAAACTAGCAAAAGAGAAATGAGTCTCATTGCCTTTTAAAGCAGCTTATTTTTGTATCTCTTTATATCGAGTGGTTATAGTTTCTAAACCAGAAATCACCATAAATGAATATGTGAAAAACACAGGATAATCAAATGCATGATTTCCTAAAAATACAGCTTAGCAGTATGATCCATTGTACATATGTAAAAAAAGCTGAAAGATTCTTGAATGCAAAATGATCTTCTGACAGTATTTAGCACGGTTCCACAGAACCTTTAGAGTCTCTGTTATTTTTTCACAGTGCCCATAGGCCAAAAAAAATAGCTAACAGTTCTGTTTATTAAGTATTTCAGTCCAAGCAGCTTAATATTTATGTCCTCACGGTTTAGTAACTTTTCAAAAAAAAAATGATACTCATTAGCTGAAAGCAAGAATAATATTTGTAATTCATTCTTTAAATAACCACAATGAGTTACTGTTAGGTTGCTCCTCGTGGGCATTGCACATCCTATCAAACCTTGGACTCATAGTGAACACTGCCACCCTCATTTTCTGTGCTACATCGATTTGGGCTTTTTGTCCTGGCAGTGGCCAAAACCCAGCTTTGGAGAGATGTGACTGAAAGGAGTGTAGTATCATTGTAAATACAATCCAAGGTTGAAGCTGAATTGCCTCCAGCTAGTAGTTTGCATTATGTCCAACAGGTGTCACTGTTCCCCTGCGAGTTAGCTGTAGCACCCTGGGGTGTGTCTCCGTGCAGGGTTTGAGAAGCTCAGATTTAGTGTATTTAGGAAGAAATGTTGGCTAAGACTCCATGCGCCCAATGCAAGGGCCCCGGGGTTCGATTCCTGGTTGTGGAACTAGATCCCATATGCCACAACTGAGGGTTGAAATGCCACGCTAAAGATTCCACGTGCTGAAACAAATGAAGATCCTGCATGCCGCAGTGAAGACCTGACACAGCCAAATAAATAATTCTTTTTTTTTTAAAGGGAGGAAATATTAGTACGAGAAAGTACAACCACATAGTGAAACTGGAAAGTCAAGGTCAGGTAGTTAAAAGAGAGAACAGGAAATCCCCCTCCCCCTCATATGTTCAAGAAATTTCTCTCAGTAGAAACAGTGGCATTCTCCTCAAGCCAGAGATCGCTCGGTAAAGGGCCTCGGACAAACGCTGGCCAAGGGTTTGCAGCCTCTTCTGGAGCCCCTCCCAGCCCCCCAGAGCCCAGCCTGGAAGAGTGTTATTCAGCTTGTCCAAATGACCTCTGAACTCTTTAACAGAAGGTTCTGTTCTCTGTGTTTTCACATGACAATTAGGCACCTTGAGGAGGTGTCTGCTGTGTGAAACAGCAGAGATGAGAGCAGAAAGAGGTTTTCTCCACGCCTCCCCCGGCTGCTGTCTCTCCTTCAACTCCTGCCCTCCTCCCCCTTCCCCCTCTCATGCACTCTTTTTCTCTCTCCTTCCTCTGCCTCCTTCTCTTTCTCCGTGAACGTCTCCTTCCCCCCTTTTCTACCCCCCGCCCCGGGCCCTTTCTTTCTTTCTCTTGTGTGTGCACTCGCACTCACTCATCCATTCGCACGCGCTTTGAAGGCACAACACAAGTCTCTTTTTCATCTCATCCTTGTGAATCTTTCTGGGGACTGGAAATCAGGTCCTCACAGCTGGATCCCTGGGTGAAATCAGCTCTGCCTTTCATTCTAGAAGAAAGGTGAAGAAAATCTCACAAAGTTCCAAGTGTGTAAACTATGTAATCAGTTGAAGGAAGGTTTGTGATTCCATGGGTGACATCATGGTCACTTAATGGTGTGTAGAAGCTTGAGAAGTTGAAAAAAGTCTCATCCTAAAGTCTAAGGAACAGAAGATTGGTCAAACTGTCTTAATGAGAAGATAACTATTCATGAAGTCCAGGCGGAAATGGAGTCTTGAGAAGCTTGTGACCTGGGTCCTGAGGGATTTTTCCACCCGCCCCCCCTCAGCCCAGCTCAGGGCACCTTTGATTTTGAGCCACAAACATCTTTCTGGTTTTTCTGTGGCCTGTTTACATTGGTGGGCTCTTTGTGACATTGACAGGCCTGAGGCACGTGCCGTCTTGTTTCCATGATGGAAAACCTTTCGTAAGCCTGGGCAAGCCTGCGAGCCAGGGGCAGCGCTTTTACTTTGCCGAGGAGATGCCCACCCTGCATGCACCGCCCCGTCCCTGCATCCCTCATAGCATCATTGCCCTTCACGTCTTTAACTTTCCTTTGCAGTTGACCGAAACCTCCTCCCGTTACGCCAGGAAGATCTCCGGCACCACCGCCCTCCAGGAGGCCCTGAAGGAGAAGCAGCAGCATATTGAGCAGCTGCTGGCCGAACGAGATCTAGAGAGGGCGGAGGTGGCCAAGGCCATGAGCCACGTCGGGCAGATAGAGCAGGAGCTCGCCCTGGCCCGGGACGGACATGACCAGGTAAAGTCTGGCCCTGACCTTGTGGCGGAGATGGTGACGGGTTCTAGGCTGATCTTGTCGCGGAGTCAGTGACAGTTTCTAACTTGAGGGAGGAGGCTGGGCAGCATACCTGGTGCTCAGAGCCAGGGAGCTGATCTCGAGCGTGCTGAAATGAGCATAGATGTCTTTCCTGGGCTTGTTTGAAAGCTGTGCCCTGGGCACCAGTTTGCATCATCATAAAGATGAAGTTCTGTTCTTCTTGAGTCTGCTGTGCTCTTTGGTCTTTACATCCAGGTCTCTTGGCCTGTCTGTTGTCAGATGAGCTTATACACTAGGACCTTAGTAGTGGTTACAACTCCTGTTTTGTAGATTATGCTTTGTATGGGTTTCAGCTTCAAGAAAGATGAGAGTGGAGACTTCCCTGGTGGCCCAGTTGTTAAGACCTCGCCTTCCGATGCAGGGGGTACAGGTTCAATCCTTTGTTGGGGAGCTAAGATCCTACTTGTGCTCAAAAAACAAAAACAAAAAAACACCAAAACATAAAACCAATAAAACCAGTATTTTAACAAATTCAGTAAAGACTTTAAAAATGGTCCACCTTAAAAAATCTTTTAAAAAGAGATGAGAGTTGTTTTAGCATTGCCCCCATTTGCTTTAATGGTGTGGTTTTTCATCATCCGGCTCCCAGAAGTGCTGCCAAGAATAACCTGTTATAAGAGATCATAGAAAGCGCTTTAATGTGACAAGGTTTTTGACTGATGCCGACCCACAGTTGTACCACTTAGCTGTAGCTCTTTGGAGGCACGTCTGGGTCAGGAGGCCACTCACTGACACCCTTGCCTTTCCCAGCACGTCCTGGAGTTGGAGGCCAAGATGGACCAGCTTAGAACGATGGTGGAAGCTGCCGACCGGGAGAAGGTGGAACTTCTCAACCAACTTGAAGAGGAGAAAAGGTGATCCCAAAACCTGCTCTCCTTTTTAAACCACCTTAGGGAGAGCTTTCCCATCCACAGCCTTGTTGGTGTCAAACCCTGAGAACCAGAGGACTGACTGTGTATTCAGTGGAGATAGGCTTCCCCATACTGTGTGCGGAAGGTTTGCGTTGACTTGGCTTTCTTGAGAAGTTTGGAACCAGATAAGTGTGCCCTGATTCACTGAACAGCTGCTTATTGAGCCCCTACTGTGTGCCAGACATCCTCTAGAGGATGGCCTGAGTCAGTTAACTCAAACCCAGTTTCCACCTGAGGCATTCCTGGAGAGGGGATTTTTTTTTCCTCCTGGGCCCAGTTACCTGGTCTTTATGAAACATTATCCAAGTATCTGATGAAATTATGTGTGTTGGGGAGCAGGGTAGTGACAGAGAGGCCTTGACCTCGAGAAACTCACTGCCTTTATAGGAAATTAGAACTCTCAGCTAGAGAACTATCCAGGGCAGGATGAAATCCAGTGCTCAACTGTGTGAGACAAAGAAGGCACGCTTGCTTCTCATAGAAGGTCTTTTGAGGCCATGAGCAAACAAGATCTCCGGGAAAGGTGTCTGCATGGAATCGGTTGACTGTCTCTGGGTTATGGGGCGTTTGTCCTCAGTTGCACTTAATGCCATCTGCTGTCAGTTCTGATCACAGTGATGTAACTCAGGGGTCTCTAGGATGACCAAGTGCTCAGGAAGGTCACACACACTGGCTGTGGTGGGAGGTACGGGGTGGCGGGGTGGGTCATACATTCAGTGCTTCACTGAGGAGATGATTGGCCACTGGGGAGAGGAGCACTACAACAGGAAGTTCTCCTTGAATCTCATTCATAAAAACGGCTACAAGCGAACAAGATACACTGACAGACCCAGGCCCATCTGAAGGCCAAGGCCCCTGTACCATTTGCTTGGGTTTTTAAACCAGCTCTTGCTGAGCTGACTTCTGGACAGTAGAAATGTTCCCCCAGCTCTTCAGTAAGCTTGAGGGCATCAACATACGATTATGTTTCTGATTCAACCGAGTAGAATTTTTTTATTCTAAACTTTGTTAGAAATGCTAGTGAATTTTTTTTTTTTTTTTGCACGTAGCTTATGGACTTTGTCCTTCTTTTCACAATCCATAGGGTTGCAAAGAGTTGATCATGTCTGAAGCGACTTAGCATGATGATGGACTTTGTCCTCCTTTTCTTCCTTCTCGTATACCCAATTTTGTAAAGATTCAGTGTGGGTGTTACCCAGGTTTTGTAAATCTTCCTAATATCATATTTCATTGACTTTGTGATGGCATTGATCAAAACCCACAGCCCTTATTTTTATGAGATTTTTTTATGAGCCCTTATTTTAGAGATTCTTATGATGTGAGTGAGGGGGGGAAGCTTGTGTTTTTAGAAGCAAGAAATAGAATCCTTGATCGCCTCTCTCCCAAATTATTCCAAGCCTTTTTCTCCCAGCCTTGGAACAGGTACTCATGTTGTCCTGGGAATCCCTGCATGGGTAGCCTGCTGACCTCACCCTGGAATATCTGATGTGGGTGGTATAAAGACAGATTTGTTTTCTATGCTAGTTTCCCCGCTGTGTTCTGTTACTGGGAAGTAGAAATTATAGACTTCCCTTCTCATACCTATCTGTATGGTGATCAGACCTTTTCCCTCGAGGATGATCTTGTCTTGATTAGATCCATTTCTGGTGGTTGTGACCTGGTGAACCAGTTGATTTTCTCAACTCTTCCCTTTCTGGGATCCATACCTGGTTAAAACTTTGGCGTTTCCTAAGTGGAGAAGAGCTCTTCACTTTGTGTATTTATAAACCAGAGGCTTTAAAATGCATTTCTTCATTTTCTACGTCGCTAAGGCATTTCTTTCCATCGTCATCTGCTAAATTCATCAGGACATTGATTATATAATTTGGGGAATAAGGCAGAGGTGTTCCTTAGTTACTTTCTTAAGTATTTTGTTTTGATTTTATTCCACAGGAAGGTTGAGGACCTTCAGTTCCGGATTGAAGAAGAATCAATTACTAAGGGCGATCTTGAGGTAAAACCCCACCAGCCATCTAAAGCTTCTGCGGGTGCAGTATTCAGAAATATGGATAACACCACTGTGGCCAGAACAGGCAGCAGAGGGGGTGGCAGGAATCCCCACCTCTGGGCTGTGGGCTATGGCTGAGGGGCTGCCTGCCCTCCAGCCTGTCACTATGCATCTCAACTCTGGTAGCTGGGTAAAATTTTCCCTACCCTTTTCTCATGCTTCCAGATTCAAAACCTTGCATTGAAGTCACTCAAGTCATAAATCTGGCAGTGTGTCCTAAGTGAGACTCTACTTATTCCTCCCATGATCAGAATGGCATTTTAAAGAGCATTTTTTATTTCATCATGGTAGTTCAGAACAGTCTCAGCTTTCCTTTTCAGTTGACCAGGATAAATCCTTTATAACCCTATAGAAAATAAATATATGTTATGGTAACTGATTTTTTAAAGTATTAGTAATTTCCAGGAAAAAAGATCAATTTTTATTTCATGGCATACTTTCAATTCAGAGATTTTCCTTTAGTATCAAGTTTTCTCATCTCTTAATAGCTATTCAGGACTTCCCAGGAGGCCCAGCAGTAAAGAACACACCTGCCAATGCAGGAGACATGGGTTCAATCCCTGGGTTGGGAGGATCCCCTGGAGAAGGCCATGGGAACCCACTCCAGTATCCTTGCCTGGGAAATCCCGTGGACAGAAGAGCCTGGTGGACTACAGTCCGTGGGGTCTCGAAGAGTCAGACATGACTCAGTGACTAAACAACAACAGTGATTCATATGAGTTTTTTAGTAAGGCCCTAGAATTAAATGACTTTGATGCTTTTCAAACCACTGCTAGATGTATGACAAATGCCAATTTTAAATTTTTAAAATTTAGCAGAGTTTTGGTACTTTAATCTGTAATATTTTAGTAGAAGTTTCTTGTCTGTGCAGTTCTCAGAATACACATTTTTGCTACCATTGCAATTTTAGAGTCTACTGAATGTCCACAGCATGCTTAAATTTCAAAGTCCTTCCAAATAAGAAGGCTGATTTCTTTTGAAATAAATGTATCTTTACAGTCAGCAGAGAGTAAGGGAAACATTTTCTATGGTCTGCTTTTATAAGGCCCAGAATGTAATGGATTATGAGTAATTTTGATAGCTGTCTTCGTCACTCATTTCATATAGAGTCACACTCCTTTAGTTGACTTCTGTGTTGTTCTCATCCATTTTAAAAACACCCCAAAATCTCATTAGAAGTTTCATATCATCATCTAATTCATGTCAAATACAGCCTACAGTGTTTTGAGGAGGAGTGAGTTAAAATATTGACACCAGCACTAGATAGGCTAGTGTGTCCAGTAAACTTGTAATTAATCAAAGTTATGCTGAAACCTAACACATGTTGAAACTCTAGTTGAATGTCTCTTTTGTTGTTAATTTTTTTATTTTTTTACTGATAGCAAAAGAGCCAGATTTCTGAAGATCCTGAGAATGTAAGAGGGCACTTAACTGTATGGATACTTCCCTTGTTAACACAGATTGATTACAGATTAAAATGCTTATTGATACACTCAAATACTAACTGCATAATCTGACCTTGAGACATTGTTCTTAATATTTCTGTGCATGTGGCTTTCAAAGCAGTTACATTTGAATCCTGAAGAAATTGTATGTAATGACTAAGTTCTGTAAACCCATTTGTCTAACACACAGGCACATGTTTGTTCTATAAAGAATTTTGGCAGAAAGACAAGAATTGTGTCTGGGGGCCCAACCTACTTCATTGAATTCATAAGGCCTTCTAGTTTTAATAGAATTCTTCCAAAATATATGATAGCTGGCTGAAGCATAAAAGATATTAGATGAAGTTGTTGCAGAAATTCTGGGGTAAAATTTCCCCAAATTTCATTTATTCCCATTAGAAGAAAGGAACATGGAGTCCTGGACTGATTGCCTTTTGTGTGAGCGCCCGCTGCTGGCCAATGGCTGCCAGTGCGGCTGACAAGAAATTCAGACTTCAGTTTGTTGGGTCAGTGTTTCCCCTAGTTGGTGAAGCTGGAGGCAGGCATTCTTCAGTGAAGACATGGTGTATTTTAAATTTATTATTCTTAAATTAAATGTTTAATTGGAGGATAATTGCTTTGTTGTGCTGGTTTCTGCTGTACAAGGTGAATCAGCTATAAGTGTACGTATATCCCCTCCCTCTAAGTTTATTATTCTTGAAGTGAGATTTTTTTTCTAGTAGCAGTGCCACAAGATATGGAGATTTTTTTTTTCTTCCTCCCTCTGTTTAGTATCAAACACCCAATTCAGATCTTACCAGAGTGGCTCAGAAGTGATCTTACCAGAGCACTTAAAAGCGTGGCTTCATGGCGCACCCTGCCGGCCAAGATGCCAATTGAAAAAAAACCTGAAAGCTGCTTCCTCTTCTGATTTACCACCACAAGAGAATGAGATTAAAACAAAGGATTTTTCTTCCCAGCAGCTGAAATAGACAACTCAAGACCGAATTTTTTTTTAAAGCCTCCGTTCTGAAGGGTTCCTTTTTGTGCAGCTACTTCAGTGATCTGCGTCTCTCCTCTGCTCCCAAAGTAGGCTCCTCCTGCTGCATCCAGAGTCAGTCTGCATGAGGCCTCCCTCCTGCCTCTCCTTGCGCTTCTCGCAGAGCCTTGGCTTTCCCTCTCAACTGCCCCACCCTCCGTGGCCCCAGGACTCTCCTCTTGGGATACTCTATCTTAGTCGAAGAAAGTAATAATCCTGAAAGCAGGGTGGTCCTATCCAGCTGAGCATTTCTGTGACATACAGGGAAGGACAGGGAAGCAGGTTGCTAGTTCCTTTTGCTGATGGCTGACCGAGTGCAGTGCAGAGCCCAGATCATCCGTGGGCACTCTCTCACCAGTCAGGAGACACCCAGAGGATCTTGGAACGGGGAGAAGATCACGTTCAGTGGGTGTTTGCTTTTTATCTAGAAGTAGTAGCGACTTTTTGGGCTTTCCTGGTGGCTCAGACAGTAAAGGATCTGCCTGCAATGCGGGAGACCTGGGTCCAGTCCCTGGGTCGGGACGATCCCCTGGAGAAGGGAACATTTACCCACTCTGGTGTTCTTGGGCCTTCCCTGGTGGGAAGTGACCTTTTACCCAGAGGACACTGAACTCCATGTCAAGAAAAGAAAGGTACTGTTGCCTTTGCTTCTTCCTGTTAATTTTGCATTTCTGTTCTTGTGACTATGACCCCAGTTATTAAAATGTAGATCTGGATGAGATTCTTTTTTTTGTGAAAGCAGGTAAATTGAACAACCTCTACCTAAGGCACATATGGAGCTTCCCAGGTGGCACAGTGGTAAAGAATCTACCTGCCAGTGCAGGAGATGCGGGTTTGATCCCTGGGTTGGGGAGATCCTCTGGAGGAGGCAATGGCAACCCATTCCAGTATTCTTGCCTGGGAAATCCCATGGACAGAGGAGCCTTGTGGGCTACACGTCCATAGGGTCACAAGCATTGGAACATGACTCAGCAACTGAGCATACACACGCAAGGCACATGTAGATGAAGGGGACTTTCCAAACAATTAAGTTTCCGATTTTTATTTCATAATTTTTTTGAGTGTGAAGAGCTGAAGCAAGCGAAGAAGTTTTACAGACTTTTTTTTGGTTTACTTTTAAAATAATCTATGATGGTTTTTTCTACCTGGTTCATAAGCAAACTGACCCCTTGAATATGTTGAAATCCCCAGAGTACCGCTGGAATGACTAAAGATATTTATAACGTAAAAGATTCTAGTTTCTGCTTAAGCTTTGCACTGCTTTCTGTCACTTTAGGGTTTGTTGTCTTTTCCCTTAAATTGTCCAGACGGAGAGATCCAACTAGCTAAAACCACAGAATAACCAGAAACTGCCGGGGGCAGCTCTGTCAACAGGTTTTGTCGGTTGATTACATTGCTAACCTCTTTGGTTGGAGAGGTGAGTGGGGATAGAGGTCCATTCAGGCTGATCTAGATGATTTCAAATTGGTTAAGATTCTGCCACACTTAAGACTGTTAGAAAGAGATGGCCCTCTGGGTTCTCCATCAGGTTCCATCAAAATCTGAGGTTTTAAAACATGTGAGGATCTTACTGGCTCTTTTTGCATGGAGTTGAAACTCTTGCCTTTCTATTGAGTCACCATGTTTCTTACCTCTGAGCTGAGGCGAAACGATTGTTTTAGGATTAAGAATATGAGCCCCTTCCCAGTTCCAGTTAAACTTTTCTCCTGCGTTGAGCTCCAGGGATGGAGGCTCTCAAGCATAACCGTCACTGAATTTTCTCTTTTAAATCTAATCCCCTTCCTCTTTTTTTCCTGGTGACACTCTTTGGAAAGTCCACTTTAACGGCTCCTCATCGTCATGTATGGGAATGTTGCTAAGAATCCCAGATTCTTCTCATTCATCTCAGCCAGCACCACTGGTGTGGTTTCCTTAGCTCCAGTTCCTAGACTTCCTTCGTTAGGTTTAATACTTGACCCTTGCTCACATCAAATTGTATGCAGAAGTACAGAGATCTGCGCTAGGAACTTATCAACCAGATGTAGACTTATGACATTAATCTTGTCCATATTTGGGTGATGGATGTTCAGTTTGAGGGCCAATCTACTTTTTTAAGTCATGGAGTCAGTTACATACACATTAATGTCAAGTAGCTATTGTGGGGAGGAGGGAAAATGATAGATTAGAGGAATATTAACTATTCTAATTTGTGCTGATAAACTTCACTTATCAATATAACTTATATTTGGCTGCATGCATCTGACACTTTTCATCTTGCCTCACGTGTTTTCCATTTTTTCTTTCTCAGTAGACTAGCTCATGTCCCCTGCCCACCTCATCCTCTTGTCCATAGTGCTCATCATCACCCCCGCCCCCAGCCCCTCCATCTCAGTCCACGCCCATCCCGTCTCCATCCCCCTTCCTGTTCGCCCTTTGGCGGAAGGTACTGGTGGCTCAGCCTGCATGCCGCGCCCTTCTCCTCCTCTGCTGGCATGTCACGGTGGCACTGTTGTGTTTCTTCCTCTTCCTTTTTACTAACAGACGCAGACCAAACTGGAGCATGCCCGCATTAAGGAGCTTGAACAGAGCCTGCTCTTTGAAAAGACCAAAGCTGACAAACTCCAGAGGGAGTTAGAAGACACTAGGGTAATGGTTTTCACTATTTAACGAAGGGCTGATCCATGTTTGTGAACACGGCGGGTGACGGGCCCTGCAGTTGGCCTACAGCCCTGACCCAGTGGTTCGACTTGAGTCTGCTGGTCCTGGTACCGCCCAGGTCCTCATGGGTGTAGACTGATGGGAGGGCCCAGGTGCTTTATGTCGAAACTTTTGTCCAAGGTGAAGATTCATTCCTTTGGTTAACTTGGCCAAAATCATCATCTAAACTCTGCAGCTATACAGACTGCATGGACATCCACAGCTGCATTTGAGGGTCTTTGTATGAATACCAGGAAATAACCTTTCTCCTGTTTGCCACCAGCAGTCAGTTGTCCTCTTGTTCTCATATTCCTAGTGGGTTTTCTAAGTAATTTTTTTGTTATTATTTTACTTTAGCTCTCTTTTTTCTGCCTTCTTCCCTGACCTCTTGGGTGAAGAGACTGGAAAACATTGGCTCTTTTTAATGAGAGATAAGGATTTTCACCCCAGTTTTTTAAAGTTTTTTCCCTTGGCACTTGATCTCTTTGTATTTCTGTTACCCAGTAGGTTAAATTCTCAGTGGTCAGGAGGGAAAAGTGTGTTGGGAACAGAATGACTTCTGCCAACCCCCAGCTCACAGTGTTTGGCCCTAGGAGGCAGTGCATTAGTCATATGTTCACTTGAAAAATGAAACAAGTGAAATTTATTTATATATTTGAGCACCCATAAGGGCTTTCTTTATACCAGACACTATTCCCAGCACTTTACAAATGTTAACTTAGTCTCACCACAGTCCCATGAGGTAGGTAGTAGCGTTGTCTCCATTTTACAGATGAGTGGCACTGAGGCACTGGCACTAATATGTCCCAGGTCGCACAGCTAATAGAGATAGTGGGGCCAGGATTTGCATTTGGGCCATTTGACCCCAAAGTCTGTGCTGTTAACCACTACAGGATGGAGTCTGTCTATTACAGAAGTCATTTTGTGCTAAAAGATTTAAGAACTAATCTGAGTCACATATAAGAAAACACGTATGTATGTATACCTTTTATTTTTTTATTTTTATTTTTTTTGTGTGTAATAAAGTTTTATTAAAGTATAAAGGAGATAGAGAAAGCTTCTGACATAGGCATCAGAAGGGGGCAAAAGAGTACCCCCTTGCTAGTATTAGCAATGGAGTTATATACTCTCCAATGAATCTAAAGAATGTCTGGAGGCTGCAAAGACCTCACCAGACCCACTCCCATAATTTACATTTTAAGATAACAGAGTTGGCCAGAAGGTTTAATCCAGAGATTGTCCTCAGGCAGGATACATCCTTGTAAAGACCAGAGCTACTCCCATAATTTACATTTTAAGATAACAGGATTAGCCAGAGGGTTTAATCCAAAAACTGTCCTCAGGCAGGATACATTATTGTTATATAATCCTAAGGAATGTAGAGGAAAAAAAAGTTAAAAAGTTTGTCCTTTCTTCCTCCTTGAATATCCCAGACCTCTCTCTCCTTGGGAACCCCTAGACTTCTTATCAACCTGCCTAGGAAATGACTCTCATTCCCCCCTTTTCTTTTAGGAGAATTATGTTGCCTAGGGAAAAGGGGCGTCGTTCTCATTCCATAACTGCTTCCGAGCTGACAAGGGGTGTTGCCCCTAAATTGGTGAGGCACCATATTCTCCTAATCCTCATACTGAGGATGTCTGATCCAGGGGCTCCAAGTAATAGTTGGAGGAGGCTGTGGCACTCATAGGAGCTCGGACAACTATTTGTAAATTAAAAGCTTTTAGACGGTTAGAAAACCCCATTATACAGTGATAGATGTAAGGCAAAATAGTCATTAAACCAAGTTAAAATCAAAATAAAAAGTCACATTATGGCCATAGTTACATCAGTCCATCTTAAGGTTGTTAGATGTCATCAGTTTAAGAAGAGTCATCACATGCGATTGTTGAAAATATTTGCAGACTTGGGGAAAGTCTTTTCCTTGAAGGGGATATGTCCACCATGGGACGCCTTTCACGGATGAAGAAGGGAGTGCTCCTCAGACCCAGCAGTTAGACCGATTGTGGAATGCAGCATAGGAGTGAGCCCAGGACAGGAAGGCATTGTCTTGAGGATCAAACGGCAGACTCAGGATTTCTGGAGTCAGCAGAAGTAGGCGCACGTAGATTATCAGGCCCATCTGAAACATACAAAGTCGGAGCATAGAAAGTAAAGACATACAGTGATGTCACTTAGTTCTGGTCAGGGTGCCACCTCTTGACTCGAGTGTGATGCACCCATGAATCAATTCCTGGCACTTTGACAGCTGTGGGAGAAGAAAGAATAACCTGGTAAGGGCCTTCCCAGAGGGGCTCGAAGGATGAGCCCCCAGATCCCAATGTTTTTATAAGGACCTCAGTTCCTGGCTCAAATAGAGGCTTGCTGGATTCAGAGGCTGGGTCAGGAGTCGTCTCCCGGAGTTCTGTTAATGCCTGTTGAAAAGCTGAGAGCTGAGTTACGTAATTCGTTAACTCCAAGGCTTCAGGATCTATTGCGTAAGAAAGGCCTTCCATATAGATTAGGTTAGTACTTCTAATTCCCAAGGAGTTATGAAATGGTCAAGGAGACCGAAAAGTTGACCGAGAAAGGAGAGTTCGGTCCACACGCTTTGCCTGTTTCTGGTTGGTTCCCGAAGGAGACATTGGTTGCCTCTTGGCCTTGGCAGGTCGGTATAAACCCGCGACAGGTTTCTGTCATAAGCCTTATGAGGTCGCCGCGGAACCACAGAGCAGGACTCCTCACTTGCTTCACGCAGGGCATTTCATTCATTCACACAAGCACACCATAGAGTTAGTAAAGTACAGCAGAAAACATGTTTGCTAGGAGAACAAAGAACTAGAGCTCCAAGCATCCTTACCTTGTCTTGAAGGATCCCGGACGAGCCCCCAAGATGAAAGGTTGTTGCTGAACGATTAGACGCGGGATTCTTGGCCTCCGGAGGAGACGAATTCAATCCGGGGCCAGAGACGAGGCTGGATCGCTCAGAGCTTTTGTGTAATAAAGTTTTATTAAAGTATAAAGGAGATAGAGAAAGCTTCTGACATAGGCATCAGAAGGGGGCAAACGAGTACCCCTGTATACCTTTTAAATCCTGAATTTGACTGTCAGTAGCTAAATCACCCAGATCCTTAATTTTAAAATTTCAAAAATTATTCTATCTCTAATCAAATTTGGTGTCCTGATTTTTTTCTTTTGAATTATTAGCATTTGTAAAAAATTCTCGAGAAATCATTAATCTAAAAAAAATCTAGAAAATCAAGTCATTTTTCTTTTCTAAGTCATGAGTTTTTTATTGTTTAAGAAGAAAGAAAATGTTCTCAGTTGGCCTCAAAACTAAAGATGTCTTCTGTGTATTTGGTAAGGAAAAAAATCCTGGTAATTTGGTGCCATGTATTTGTTACCTGAGAGTCAGACTTGATCTGGGAAATACAAGGAACTGATAGGAAGCCTGAGCTCCTGTGGTGTGGCTGGCTATTGAAGTAAGGATTTTTTTTTTTTTTTTAACTTCCGAAGTGCTCTTCTATACAGCTTTGTCAGCAAACAATTTTTTTTAAATTTTCTGTGGATAAGAAAGCATCCATTCACAGCACAGTTTATTCAAGTATTTCAGATTCAAACTGTTACCTTCCTGTAACAGTCCTGTTGATCCTCACTCTAGGTCTGCCAAGTATGGAACTAACTCCTGACCCATATAAATTTCCCATCACCCACATTCCTTTTTGGGAAGTGCTGTAAAATTCCTCTAAGCCAGTAAGCTCAACTTATAAACAGCGTGCTTGGTGCTGTAGAGACATCAGCAAGAATTACAAACAGTAACCTGACTTTTATGGTGGGAAAGGCAGACACATAGATAGTTTCACCTGAGGGCAGATTTGGGCAAGTTAAAAATAGAAGTGCTGTGAAAGTGCTCCATAATCAAACTATTATTTTCCCTCATTTTTTACTTGGCATTTCCTCAGTTTGACAGTTTTGTTGTGACTGATTAAGAATTAGTGCCCTGTTGGGTTCAACTTATTTGTATTATAGACCTCGTAGCAATGGAGTTTAATAATGTACCTTATTTTGTGGTAACAAGCTCTCCGAGTCCTCACCTCCCCACCTCCACCCCAGAAAGAGCTAAGTCAGTGAATTACCATCTTTCAAATACCTACATACAATCCTGAAACACAACAGTTAGAGCCAGCTCTGAAATGTTCAGTGACTTGATCATGCCGTCTTGGGAGTCCCAAGTGCTTTATTTTCTTGTTCGTGATCGACCCTTTAGTCTTTATCCACCTCACAGCCTGTTGTTGGGCCAAGGGGCTGAAGGAAACATACATCCATTGTCTCCTGTCCTGTTAAAGGCAGGGAGGGAACGAACCTTCACCCTGCAGGACATTTGATCTGTGAAATTTGGGACTCACTGATATCTTGAAATCATTCAAGACCGGGATGGGGGATACATGTAAATCCATGGCTAATTCATTTCAATGTATGACAAAAACCACTGCAATGATGTAAAGTAATTAGCCTCCAACTAATAAAAATAAATGAAAAAAAAAAAAAGTAAAAAATTTGAGACTTTCCTGGTGGTCCAGTGGCTAAGACTCCACGTTCCTAATGCATAGGGCCCAGGTTTGATCCCTGGTCAGGGAACTAGATCCCATGTGCTCCAACTAAGAGTTTTCGTGCTGCGACTAAGACCTGGTGCAGCCAAATAAATAAATATTTTTATTTTTTTTATTTTTTTATTTTTTTTTTGTTTGACAACTGTCTTTTATTTATTAATAAAAAGGAAAACATCAGTCAACATTCATTTCAAAAGAAGCAACTGGTATTAACAGTCATTAAAGAAGATATACAAGTGGCAAATAAACAGGAAAAAAGTGCTTGACATCATGAAACATCAGAGAGCTACAGTTAAAAAATTACAGTGAGATGCCATTACACCCCTACCAAAACAGCTGAAATTAAACAGACTGACAATACTG